ATTCCCTGCAGGGGATTCAGATCACCAATAGCAAATGTTATGTGCTCACATGCTGTACTCAGCGACATATTCTCCAAATTACGAAGTCCCTGGGTCTTAAGTATTCTTAAATACCTTAAATCCATGAGTGTCTGATCTTATGTCATTGTGATGTGGAAGCAATACTGACTATTTGGTGCAATACCATTGCAAAGGAAACTTAAAAGGCAGTAAGTGGGTGGTCGGGCTTCAGGTCAACTGATTTTCCTTTTTTTTTTTAACATAAATTTCACAATCGCGAGGCATCATTTGTCCTATCTCTATGGTAGGTTTTTGTTGATATCCAATCTGGTTTGACCAGCCTGCTAGGCAGTCTGCTTTGCCACCATAATAGAAACCTCTGTGACACAAAAGTTACACCAGCCCTAACTGAGGATGCCCCAATAATCAGTCCTATTGGTTTCAACCCAGAGGCTGCCCACCGAGACCTCCAGGAAGAAAGGAGAGGGGAAAAAATCAAGCCACCTGGCCCTCTATTCCAAGGTCCAAGGGGCAGTTAGTAATTGGGCAATTTGAAAAGTTTACAGAACAAATAAAAGTCTTGCTATTTGTTCCTCTGGCTTTGGGGGACCGGAGTCACGTTTGACCTCCCATTATTGTCCGGCTTGGTCTGTGCACAGGGATCTTCGGACAAAAAATGGTATTCGGGAGGGTCCATCATTTGTGTATGTGGGCATGGTCTCTGGTGACCTTTGACGGAGTGGAATAGCATAATTTTCCTCAAGTGGTGTGATTGAATCGGACATCTGGGAGGCAGCCAGTAATGACTATGCGGTGGACGATGATTTGACTGTAAGTGACCATAGAATCGACCGTTTACTCCCCAAAGTGGCCCTACATGCTTGACCCAGCATGTTGCTGTTTGCTTAAATCATGGCTCTTCAGTGGTGGTCAAGTTTCAAAAGAAAATAAATTCTCCACGCCAATGGTGGTCAATTTACAAAAGAAAATAAACAACACTTTCACACAGGAATGTGTACAGGTAGATTCCACAAGGACCTTGGAACAAAAAGTAACATTACAGCGGTGTCTTGTCTCCACATGAAAGACATTGCAAGCTGCGCTGTAGCCTGTACACAAACTTGGGCGCCTTACAAACGTAGGACTTCAAAATTGTCGGGGGGGGGGGGGGAACTTGGCAATTTATGGCTCCAGTTTATGCCAACCCCAACACAAGCATTAGATTTCACATACAGTAGTTGTACAGAGCTTGGGATTAAATAGTCACTGTTCCCAATTTGGTTCAATTGCAACAGTGTTCAATGCAACTGTGATATACATGTACAGGTACCTACAGTACATGTTACTAACATCTTTGTTATTCTTGAGTCAATACAATTGGGTTCTCCACGGTAAAATAAAATTTCCTCAAAAACTTTGAATTTGTCAAACAAATTCAAATTCAAACAATTTTTCTTTTCTCCTTCCCTGTGCACTTGGACAATGAAATTGACTCTACGTGGCTTACTGACTGACTGCGACACATTCTGAGATTTTTATTACCCTAGGGTGACTCCCCCCCCAGCAGAGGAAAGGTGACTAGACGAAGTGGATCAGGCGTGAAGGATAAATCACATGATGAGGATGCAATCATTTAGGATGTGGCTACTCTACATGTACCTCTCGTGTGATGTTGCGCGGCATGTCATTGGGGTCACGGGAAGGGGATGGAGTCATCACCCTGAATTTGACCAAACGCTACCTGGCACGCGGCGGGGGAAGAGTTTGCAATGCGCAGTCGCAGGTGTAGCATACCACAACATGAAGAAGGATACACCGAACTCTGATTCTGAATACAACATGTGCGTCTAAGCGGGAACACTGAACAGTGCTGTATATTTCAGGAACGTAGGCAGGATATCGTCATTTTGTACCGGTTCCATGCCACTCCTACTGTGGTGCAGAATTTTGTGAACACTCTGAATTTCTTACGCACAAGTTTATACTTTTTGATTAGTATACACTGGCTGTTTAAGACTCGCTGCTGTTTAAAAATACCGAAGCCACTACATGTACCTTTGCAGGCAACCCATGAACATGTAAATTCCTTTAAAAAGCACGGTTTTGTAAGTGATTACTCGCTGTCAAATATTACAATATAAGTACATCGAAAATGTGAAATAACACACTGTTCTAAGCTTGCTGACGAGAGAGACACGAAATATGCAAATTTATCAAAGTACTTAAAGGGCCTAATGTTTTGATTTGCCACGCCCACTTCTCTGGGTTTACAAGTAATGTTAACAACCCCCCCCAGCTGTCAGAGTGTTTGAAGTATTAAAGGGCAGGTTGATTTAATCTCTGACCCTGTTCGTATCATTTACTGTACGCAATCTGCATCCATAGAGTGAAGTTTGCATGAAAAAAAATGTTCTAAGCATTGGCCCTGATATAATTCCTGAGGGACAGGAGAGTTTGCCCGGAGATGCAAAACAAAATTTGGGATCCATTTTTATCCCTGCTGTAACTTGAGGTAATGAAGCCAGGATGTGAGTTGATTACGATGGGGAGAGCCAGCACTGTGGCAGGTACATCATTGTACATGTTCATGGGGGGAGGATACTGAAGTTTGATCTTGAGTGGGATCCAGACTTGTAATCTATTGATACATGTATAATGTAGGGCCTACACATTACAAACACAAGCATGCAAAGCAGTGGGCAGGAGACTTTGATCAAAGGCATTTTTCCCCTACAAACTGAACATGCACTCAAAATATCCTAAACCACACTATCCTAACTCAATTCCTTACCCCATGTTTCCACACATCCTGATGCTCAACCTCAAACCCGCCTTAGCTTAAAATATCATTCTTTTTCAACAGCCTAGAGGTACATGTAGATTAGAATCTATTACTGAGGAGGCACAACGCTCATGAACAGAGGGCAGGTGTGCATTTATGCCTCTTCAACCAATAGGGTGCCGCAGTTTGCCAACAACACATGCACATTAAGCTTACGAAAGCGTTTGTATGGCATCTCGTCGGATTAGTCAGGAGATCACATGCACATTTACATGTAGTGTTTCCATACATACAAATTTTGTCCTAACTCAGATCAATAATCATGTCTCATTCTGCTTGCAGATTGTCCTTACAACATGGAGTAGACAACTTTTAAGGATTTGGTATTCCAGAAGACTTGTTGCATACATGCATATGGCTACAATGATTACATAATCTTATGTTTCACACACTACTGATAGGCGGATACCGGTAACAAAAAGCTAATATTTCACAACTCATGGTGCATGTATGTGTACATGTATTTCAAGCAAGCTATAGTTAAGATTTGTATTCTTGTCTACATATGCAATGCTATCATGTAAATATCTGACAGTAATGTGGTAAGTCGTCGAGCACGTGTCACACAGAGAATATGTTCCACAAACACAAGTGCAGTGCACTTTTCCCGAGGCATGATTCATTGGCTGCAGGTTCACATGTTGTCAGAACATTGCAACAAATGTGTTTACTGAGCCCCCACGGCAAAGCCTATCCATACCTTGAAGACCAATTTTTTTTTGTTCAGTGGCAAGACTATGACAAACTGGTCGACCAGACCCGAGGGTTACGACAACAGGAAGAAGAGTCAGCGAGAAGGCGTGGAAAGAGAGAGGCAACAGTCTCTCGGCAGATGCCGTAATACTTCAAATTCTTAGCCACAGTAACTCTAAGATCGCTGCTTTGGTTCTGTGAAGAAATTCTTTTTCTCCTGAGGATGACTCTGAGGTCCAACATTTTAATTCAGAATGTTGGCCTACATGTACATCATTATGTGTAAATGCATGCCAGCATTTTCAGACAAACTGAAACTAAGCGTGGTTTGTCGTCAGGATCAAAAATTTATAGTTGTGTACATGACATGCTTGTGTTGGCCCTTGAAACTGTTGGGAATGAATCACTTCAATCCAAGTCATATCTGCCGGGGTTGGCTTCAACCTGAACAGATATGGCATTCAACATGAATAAGCCTACTGTGCTGAATCACTGAGTTTCGACACTTGTTGTTTCAAGTGCAATTTATGTTTGGCGATTGAGGTTGACCAAACAGACAAGCTTCCAGGGCAAACCAGTTTCCATGCAGGCATCAAAAGCATGATGAAGCCAGTCCCAAAATCTGAACATGGTTCAGGGGACTTTCTAGTTTCTACCCAGATTGAAAGCTTCAAGCCTGGTGAAGCCAGTCCCAAATCTGAACATGGTTTAGGGGGAACTTTCTACCCAGATTGAAAGCTTCAAGCCTGGTGAAGCCAGTCCCAAATCTGAACGCGGTTTGGGGGGGGAACTTTCTACCCAGATTGAAAGCTTCAAGCCTGGTGAAGCCAGTCCCAAATCTGAACATGGTTTGGGGAAACTTTCACCCAGATTGAAAGCTTCAAGCCTGGTGAGGCCAGTCCCAACTCTGAACATGGTTTGGGGAAACTTTCTACCCAGATTGAAAGCTTCAAGCCTGGTCTCAACAAGGGGTGGTTTCAATCAGGACAGACAGAGACAGTACTGATATTTAATGATGAAATATTAAAGAGACTCAAGGGGAAAAAATTTGTCAGGTTTGGATCAGCAATCAATCTGACAAAACAACAATGAAAAGGGGGTTATACTTCCGACAGGATTTGAGTTTGCTCAGAATCTAAGATTGCCTACACCAAGAAATGACTTCAACACATGTGCCTCATCTTTTTTAATTGACACAAACTACATGGGTATTTTACACGTAACCTGTAGCAGCTAGCTGTTGTTGAACAAGGACGGGAAACTACACGTACATGTACTACATGGGTGTATTTGGAAATGTACCCATGAATCATTCTGGCAAGAGGTGTATGTGTCATTAAAATCATGAGCGCCGAGGTGACCGACTTGAAATGGTCTCCAACAAGCGCTGACAACAAGTGTCAACGTAGGAGGATGCAGCTGGAGGATCTGGACTATTATCAAGAGGTATTTTTTTTTCACTTACCGCATAGTGGAGACCTTCGTAAAAACAGGTGCCTGTGTAATAATCAAAAGAAAAACATGATATAAAACTTCAGCATTAACAAGGGCAATATGCACAGTACATGTATACACGTCTTACATACCAGTATGTACCTGTTCCTCTGAGTTTCGGACCTTTGAACCTCAGTTACACATGTAATACATCAAACTGGGCGATTTCCTCCTCCCCCCCCACATTTAGAAGTGTGTTAAATGGGTGGAATGTCTCTCAATCTACGGTCGCCTTTATTTGCCCACGGTGTGGCTCCATGTACACACACCAAAGGAAACAATAGGGGGGGTTGTCAGTTTAGCGCAATATTCTGTACATCCTTCGATGCATACCGGTACAAGTACACAGATACCGGTAGACAAGATCTATGGACAGCCAATGAAAGGCCAGTTCCAATAATGTATAATGTACATGTACAGTGTACTGTAGATTTACATTTTAACTGTAAAAACCTCACAAGAACTTTAAAATGTGCAGGAAACTGGCAATGTTTCAGTGCACTGTACCCGGCCAGTGGACCTAGTGGACCAAAATCAATACAGACCACAGCTTACATGACCTGATGAAGTGATGCCAAAACTTTGAATGTGTGAGAATACATGTACACCCACCACTGAACTGCGGTGGATGTCAGTCCTAACAAGTACTGACTGGGGTTGCAATTATTTCCTATTTATTTGGCAATACTACATGTACGTTTTCGCTCTTAATACAAAAATTGATATTTTGCAATCAGTGGCCTCCTCCAATCCATTTACAACTTATGAAAATAAGATCCTACACATGCATCAATGTACTCAGTCATGATCGACCTACTTTTATAAATACTACCCGTAGTTACAGTAGGCACTAGAGCCTAGAGCACTAATGTACGGTACGTGTACATGTATATTAACCATGTTGGAACCATCACAATTTGGAGGAAGTGCATGGCCATTTACCAGATTAATTCCAACCTGCTGGAAAAATCCAAAGCCATCCCTTCTACCCCACTTCCCTCACTGAGTGCCTAATCTCTCGGCCAAAGCCTTTCCCCAGGAAGCTGGTGGCTGGCTCCTGCTCAGGCACAAAGTTGGAACAAGAGCTGGCCCAGGAAGAGGCTACGGCACCTGGGTTTTGAGGTCTGCACTTCGGGGTGCGCAAAATGCCTGCCTGCCCACAGTGTGCCCAGCAGCATTTTGTCGAGGGCCACACTTGCAAAGGCACTGCAACTTAACCAGGCAAAGAAACTACTGGCAAAAAATTTGAACAGACACCAAACCCACTTTCACATGTAAGGGTAAATCCTGCCCTGGAGATAGTCAGAACAGCATAGAAGCTACCATTCAGCTACTTGTAACGTATTTTATTCAAAAATGAAAACCTGTACCGGCAAAGTTTACACTTGATTCTGATTAGGCCTTTATCAGCTCCCTCAATCAAAAGAAAAACAGGGCCAGATTAATAATTCTACAGTATTTCCGGTCGCCTTTGTCGGGGTAGAGGGACCACAATGTTACACAGGGCAAAGTGAGAAACAAGGCTTGACCATTCTACCTCAGCCCTCTTCGTGTTCAAAGATCCCTCCCGAATCCAAGCAATTCTAACAGCAGCAAAGTACCAAGTTTGCTCAATTCAACAAAACCTACGTGGCTGTGGCCTCCATACACCACCAGAAGAAGTGTTGGTGTTTTTTTTTAAGTAATAACGAGACAACAATCTGTTCTGAGACAACCCACCAGGCACACGTGCTTGCTCATGCCCGACTACTGTACATGTACTTTACGTGCAGCTTACCAGACCCACAAGAAATTTCTCAGATATCCAATGTCTGCTCAATGCAGGAATAGGATAATAAAGGTGTTTTTACACGAAATGGCTTTGGTGGGCTAGCAGAGCACACAGGTTCAGGTGCACTTGGTGTGGGATGCGCAGGGTACTGTACATGTATTGCATGTGTGACCCACTTCTGGTTCAAATGTACGGTCTTCGTAAATGCGCCATGCACCAAGTTGAAATCCCCCCCCAGCCTTTCTGTTCTTTGTCAGTGAAGTGGTAAACTTGCCGCAGAGATGGACAGAAAAAATAGAGCTATTCTTTGCTCAAGTTACTGTAACAAGGTCCAACAGCTGTGAGAACTCTTGTTGAGTTCAACTTCAACCAGACTTCAGCCAACTTGACGACAGTTGGGATTACTCTACAGTACATGGACATGGACATGTACCAGTAGAAGATAACACATCCTCATACATTTCTACATACCATGCATACTGCTTACAACCCGCCACTTTCCTCATGTAAGTATTACTTTAATGATGACAGTGTTCACCTTGAAAATTCAGACATTATTCATTGAGCGCGGGATTTTCACTCTAATAAGTCCTTTGTGGCTTACGACATGAATGTGTGGTACATCTACATTGTATGCACATGTGCATGTACCGGTGGGTACACAGCCATAACTTCAGAGCTGGTAAGTAAGGCCAACATGACCTTTCTAGAAGTTCAAGCTAACACAACCGGTCTTTAAAAGCCTCCCTGCACAAGGCCCTTTGTAGCTACCAACATAAATAGGAGCCCATTCTGAAAGCAAATTATCCAATCCATAAAATCTTTTATACTTCCAACCAACTGCCAAATTCAAACCCAGGCTACAAGTATTGACCGTGTGAAACTGCATGGGGTTTCGGCATTCACAACAGAGCCTCAACCTGGAGGTTTCCCAATTGTACTGTACAACATAGTTTTTCTCTCTTTCTTCTTCCGTAATCAATACGAGCACAATGCAAACACAGACCCAGCCAGATTGTGTTGTGCTTCCGATGCAAGACATGGGTGCTGAGTTTCGTCGGCTCAAATAACTTCACCTGGCTTAATCCTCCTCTCGTCTCCTTGGTGTGGGGGTAAAATGGGGGCATTAGACCGTGCCTGTGAGGGGTATCGGGACACCCTTTTCTGTGGGGGAGGGTGCAACCTAGCAGTGGGGTACAAATTGCTTGGTTTGTACATGCAGGAAGGGGGTTGACAAATGGAAGGTGGGGTGCTGGGGTGATGAAGGAACAGATTGGAAACCATGTACCAGTGCATGATCCGGAGTGTTTGTCTGGAAAAAAATCTGATGGTGTGACGATGGCAAACTTGAAAAGTCTTTGTGGCATTCCAAATAAAACCCACACGTACTATGTACACATGCTACACAACACAAACATGTTGTGACTGTGTTAGTAAGCAGGGCGTACAATAATTCTTATTTAGAAGTCCATACTTTCTCTGATGCACAATGACATCCAAAGGCTCACTTTTCCTGAATACAGACTTTGACATGAAAAGAACTTAAAAAATCAAACACTTTTGAATGAACCAACTTCAATCAAGGCAGTTTCCACTCTTCAAAACAAAACTACAGCATTGGGAACAATGTACATGTACATTGTATGTA